TGATGCTTTCCAGGTTGATCCGCAGCTTGCTGACTTGGAAGCAAGAAGGTTACTCCTCCATTCACAAAAGAAATGGGAACGTACCTTCCAAACAGGTGACATTGAAGAAATGGCTCGCAAATGGACCAATGCAGCCGAACAAGTTTTGGCAGCATCAGCAGTTGATGCTGTGGGAAACAAATGTCAAGTCTCAAGCGCTTATTTGGGCAGGTCCTCAAAGAATCCCCTTAAACAAATTGCCAAAATTGTTCCTGTGAATAAGAAGGCGAGAGATGGGGATTTTCAGAGCTGCCATGACCAGTGTAGTGTCCAGATGCGTAGACAACTTAAACAGCTCCACCGACTTCAGAGCGTTGTTCGACAAGCTGGATCACTTCAAAAACAATTCAGTATGCAAGCGCTAAGCCAACTGCAGCACCTTTGGAAAACTATTTGTGCTGCAAAAGGGTTCCGAGGGGGGTTTTCCGGCTGGATCCAGTCCCACTTGCGATTTCAGGTTACTGAATGGTTGCCGAGCCTGGAAATTTTAGTACAAATCAAAGATGCTTATGCCACATGGTACAAGCACAATGAGAATGTGGTACAGAACGCCAAACAAGCAATCCAAAAAATTGATTTGCAAGAAGATTGGAGCAAAGGAGGTAAGATTGCCTTCAGCAAAGTCAAAAGATGTGAGCTTTTGCCTTTAACCTCCATTAAACACCAAGTTCAATGCTGCATTAAGAGGGTTGCGTGGACCAAAGAAGGACGCGATTTTCTGCCGTGTAGCAATCCAATTGAGTTTGACCTTAACCTTCCGGTAACCTTCCAGACGCAAATTGCCTTTGTTAAAGAAGTGACTACCAAAGGGTTTAGATTGGATCGCAAAGTTCATTTGCTCTTTGCCGAACAAGAACAAATGATGCTCACGCAAGTGCAAACATGTGTACACCCTGATGACATGCATAAGCAGCTGTTTGATGCTTGGAACTGTTTTTTCCAAAGGGATGCGTCCAAAGACCTAGATGCGGTACCCAATGAAATGTGCGAAATTGTTGACAAAATACCACAACACCAAGTCAATGATCTTCCACCTATTACAGGAGAAGACCTTTGGAATGCTCTCAAAGCGACAAAGGTTGCCAGCAGTAGAGGGTCTGATGGTTTCAGCACCTTGGACTTGAGGAAACTGCCACACTGTTTACTGGAATTCCTTGCGATGATTCTCCAAGCAGTCGAACTTCAAGGCCAATTGCCGCAGAGGTGGACACTTGCAAAAACCATTTGCCTGCCCAAATGCCCTGAACCTTGCACTCCCTTTGACATTCGGCCTGTTACTGTCATGTCCAAGATTTACAGGTTATGGGGTCATATACGAGGCAAACAGATCACCAAAATACTTGCAACAAGTATTCCACCCGAGGTTGCTGGAGTGTGCAGAGGGGTCTCTTCTGATCTTGTTGCATTACTTGTCGCATCCAAAATTGAAGCCGCACATCATCATTCGACACCTCTTGGGGGTATAGTTGTTGACCTCATGAAATGCTACAACACTGTACCCAGAGGAGCACTCATTAGGACTTTAAAAAGGCTGGGAGTCCCTAACCATATCATATGTGCTTTTAAAGCAATGATGATTCAAATGAACCGTTTTTTTGAAGTTGCTCACACCTGTTCGCTTCCGCAGAGCACAACAACCGGTATCATTGAAGGTTGTGGGTTTGCAATTCCTTCCATGTTAGCTTTAAGCATTGTGGCCTATCACATGGTCATGAATGCGTCCCCACAGGCCCAGTGCGCTTTCTTTGCCGACAATTGGAGTGTATGTGGTCCCACCTTTTCAGACCTCCAGAATTCCCTAGCAGCTTTGGAAGAAACCACTGAAAAGTTGAAAATGAAAATTGCCCCGAGCAAAAGTTGGTCATGGGGCACCACCTCAAAAATGAGAAAAGAATGTTCACTGTTGAAAGTGAATGATTCACCAATACCACTTGTTCACTGTGCACATGACCTGGGCATGCAGCAAAACTACACCAAAAAACAGTCCAAAAAAACGATCAAAAAGAAAGTTGACAAAGCTAAAGCAAAGCTTAAAGTCATTCAGCAATCCAAAATTCCCAGAGGGATGAAATCACGAATTGCAGCCAGCGCCGGACAGGCATGCATCATGTACGCGGGTCCATTTCAAAAAATTGCTTCAAGTGATTATCATACCTTAAGGTCCAACACTGCGAAAGCCTTTAAATGTTCTGGATCTGGCGCCGACAGCTATCTTGCTTGTAATGCTTGTGATCCCTCGCTAGACCCCGAATTTAAACTTTTGTTTTTGCGCTTTCAATTGTGGAAAAGATTTCACCGGGTTTTTCCCTCGCAGGCGGGAGTGTTGCATCGTATCTGTAGAGACATTCAGTCGTGTCCCCAAAAAATGAAGCAACCAGGGCCTGTTGCTGCCCTTGTTAGTGCTGCAGTCATGATTGGATGCTACTTCGATCAGCAGGATGGAACCTTGAATATATGCGGACGTACCTGCAGATGGAGGGAGGTTTCAACTAAAGTTCTCAAGCAATTGCTCCAAACTGCGTGGGTCAAACATGTTGTAACCACCAGAGTACACAGAAAACATTTTGAACTGCAATCGTTCGATTGGGTTGGTAACAGGAAAGCAATGGAAGGACTGACATACCATCAGAAAGCCTTGGTTGCAGTATATCAGACGGGAAGACATATCACCAATGATATGCTATCCAAGTTCCTACAAGGAGTTGATGAAAAGTGTCCTCTGTGTGGCCAATCCGATTCCAGGAAGCATCGCATGTTCCAGTGCACCAAACTTGCTGATGTTCGACCCAAAAAAGATATCATGCAGAGAATCCAAAAAACATGGAAAGAGACCTCACGGTACTTTGCGCTTGCGCCAGAGATCCCTGATGTTTCCTCAATCTTTCATGGGATTGATAAAAGTATGCCTGTTCTCAAATTCCCTGTGCCTGAGGAATCCGAACATCATATCTTTACCGATGGGTCTGCATTCTTCAATGATATCAGTGGCATTTCCATTGCATCCAGCGCAGCCATTGAATTTCAGAAGATGACACCCCAAAAAATCAAGGTCTTTTCAAGCTTGGTGCCAGGATGTGAACAGCACAGTTTTGCAGGGGAACTTTTTGCGGTCTTGCTGGCCCTTACCAATTTTTACCACCTTTGCATTTACTCAGATTGTCAAACGGTGGTTGATTTGGTAAATGGTTACCTTGGAAATCATGAACGTCCTTGTGAACTGCAAGGATGTTTAACACTATGGAATCAGATTGAACAGCACTTGCAACAATGTCCAGGCAGGCGTATCACAATCACCAAAGTGAAAGCACATGCTGAACTCCAAGATTCGATGAACGCTTTTGAAAAATGGACAGCATTGGGAAACGATGAAGCCGATAAGCAAGCAAAAGCCGTTATTCTTCTTCGTGACCACCAGGGCAAGTATCAAGCTCTTGCCAAAATCCATAAGACAGTTTCTTTGCAACGCAAAGATATAGCGGAACTCTTTGCCTTCATTGCCAATGCGAGTGATCGTTGTATTCATGCCAACACAAACTTGCAGAAAGAGCGTCAGAAACAGACATTTTTTGACGTAGATCATGTTGAGATCGCCGTGCCCACCAGAGTAATTTCTTTAAACTTTGACTTCACGTTTGACCAACTCATGTCATATCCGTGGGGACCCGTCTTTCTATGGAGAATTGCCTGGTGGGCCAAACAGTTGCAATGGCCGTCACATCCCGCAATTGATGGACCTGATATTTCACTGTTGGAACTTTACATTGACTTTGTTATCACGACCAATTCACGTACCCCAAGGAATATTTTTACAAAAGCGCAACGTGATAAATTTACTGCTCCAAACTATGTCCTTGATGATATTGAGAAACGAGCTGATGTTCAATCCACCACCTTGGGAGCCCAAACTCAAACTTGGTGTAAAGCCATCACATGGTTGCTCAAATTCACAGACCAAAAAGTTTTTCCTTCGGCCCTCAAAAAGAAAGCTGTTTCCATTAACCGCATCGGTTCTTCAGCGACCATGAAGGGCTTGGAGGTTCGTCCCAGATTGGTAAATAATGATGCTGTGATTCAACACTTGCACAAATTCTTCAATACCGATTCCGGAATGAATAGATCCCTTGATCGAAACTTTGACTGGAATGCTGGAACCACTCCAATTCATCCTGTTGAATTAAATGTACCCTTTGCGCAACCGCATCCCCACGTCTCACGCTGGGATTCAGTGCAAAAGCCGCAAAAATTCCAGTGGTTAGGAGGGAGCCATTCGGAGCTCCATATTCCCCAGCCGGAGCCAAGGAGCTACGAATGGAGTTTTCCAATCTCATGATAGTTAACAGTACTACAAAATACTACACATCTACTTACTATAGTTTATTGAGATACTAAATATATACTGGTAGATATTGTAAATCCGGAGTTATAATTTTGTTGATTCGTTAATGGTCCCAGTTTTGCCACCAGCTTCGACTCCCAGTCTGGCTTGCAATCCCATCGCGTTTTCGGTCATATCCAGGTGGCTAAGACCATCTGTCCATCATTTTGCTGGTTTCGATGGATTGGTTTAATCAATGGCCATTTCAGGAACCTAAATTGGAGGTACCTACCATATATAAGGCCTAAGGCCTATGTAAGGCCTCTGTAAGGGAATATCCCCACAAAATATGGCCTTATATGGTACAGTACCTCCATTTTAGGATCCTGGAATGCCCATTGATTTAAGGGAAAATTGACACCGGAAAACCCCATATTTAATGGGAACATCGATGGTTTCCGGTTAAGATTTTCCCTTAAACCAATCCATTGAAGGTTGAATTCCAATGTTTGGTTAAGATCACATTTCGGCTGGTTGAGCCCCAATTTTTGACAAAACCTTTTGATGCAAAATCACTCTAAAAAACTCAGGGAAGCCTGGTTTGTTTCCTCTCCAAATCGAGATTCCTGCTGCTCAATCCCTAAAGGCAAGATCCTCTTGGACGACTTGGAAGGAGGCCTTGAGACGGCCATGCAGGCGCCGAACATGGCGAAAATGGGATGGGGGATTTGCCAAGAAAAAAACCGCCAGCAAATATGGGGCTTCACCATAATTATACCATAAATACCATAATATCTATATACTGGTGATAAATACCATACTACCATAGTTGAACCAAAATAGTTAAGATCTACCTACTGGTGATACAATGATGGTATATAAGCAACTTGATATTTTGCTTGATGCAGATAGGTATTTCAGAGGATCATGGCCGTTGCGGCCTCTAATTGCTGTCTTTTTTGGGGGTTCCCGTACACAAAAAACCCGTTTGTTGGGCAACATATATGGCATATCACCAGTTATGTGTGGCTTATCCCAAGTAATATATGGGTTACCCTGAAAGTCAAATGAACCATTTTACCCATCATAGTGATAGTCCACAATTACCCCAGGGCTGGGATACTTTTTTTGGGTGAACCTGCATGATCACCAGCTATTCCAATGTGAACACTAGCGCGCTGATGCGGTTTTGATCCATGGCCAAATGATAGATCCAGCTACCAAACAATACATCTACTATATACTAAGAATAGACTAATTTAGATATCTAGAAGAATAGACTAATTCATCTATCCATCTATCGATCTATCTATCTATCTGTCTGTCCGTCTACCATCTATCTATCTATACAATCTAATCGAGTCTAGACTAGTCTAATCTGATGCAATCTAATCTTATCCAATCTTATCTTTTCTTGTTTCATCTATCCATCTATCTATCTGCCTGTCTGTCTGTCTGTCTGTCTATCTGTCTACTCTCTTTACCATCTAATACACCACGGACCTTTCTGTTTTCCCCCTGCATCAATGGTCTCCATAGGGCGTCGTCTTGGCGCGCTCCTGCGGCGACAAAGTCCTGGAAGCGTTCTCTCTGCGCGGGGCCCAGCGCCCGTTTTTGTTTTGGTTTTCGGCAAAGCCATGGGCTAATAAAGGTTGGTTTGTAATGCATGGTACCCCAATAGCTGGATGGTTTATAATGGGAAATCCTACTATAATGGATGATTTGGGGGAAAATTACAATCTTTACTATGGAAAATCACCATGTTTAATGGGTAAATCAACGAACTAAATGGCCATGTTCAATAGCAAACTGTTAGTTTACTAACTATTTGGATTGATTGGGATACAACCAACGACTATTGGGATATCTATGGCATACATATAAAGTGTATATTAGTATAGTATATTAGTATTACATATGGGGGTTTCCTACAATGGGGACACCCCAATCGCTGGATGGTTTAAAGTTTATAATGGAACATCCAAACAACATGGATGATTTCGGGGCACCCCCATGGATTGGAAACCTCCATATTTTGATGGGGATATATTGGAGATCATGTGGTAAAGCCCATTTTCAGACAAACCGATACTGGTTGGTGGTTTGGAACATGAATGGATTATTTTTCCATATAACTGGGGGTTACCCGGCCTGGTAAACTAAGAACAATGATGATTTAATGGGATTTTACTGGGATTTCATGGTGATCAATAGGATTTTATTTTTCCATATATTGGAAATAATACTCCCAACTGGCGAACTCATATTTTTCAGAGGGGTAGGTATACCACCAACCAGGATATATTGAAGATAAATATGGAAGAATTGGGAATACTTGGAGGACCGTAAGTGGTTCGTGTGGGATCAGTTCACCCAGTGATTTATGGGATAATGTCAACCCCGGATGAGACTAAACCATGGTTTATATGATTATCCAATAGTTTATATGATTACAATTGGGAATATCCATAGTATCATCAACCATGGTTTATGAAAAAAAGGGGGGTACTCGTCCAGTAGTCATTTCATCTAATATTTTTTTAATGGTAGCCTCCCAATTAGTCACAGCCGTAAACGGGGTTTATTAATCTGTGGGATGATCCGCGTAGGTTGAATGGGATATACCCTCTGGTAAACGTTTACATAGCTATGGAAAATCACTATTTTAAATGGGTAAATCCACTGTAAATGGTTATTTTCAATACCAAACTGTTAGTTTACCGGAGGGTATCAATCTTGGGATTCATGTGGTATATGTCCCCTTTTATGGAGGATATATCATCAATAATTGTTGGGATTCATGTGGGATATTTCATCTTGATATATTAACTATTGTTGAATGGGATTCCATTGGAATAATTGAGAAGAATCTGGGATTAATCATCAACAATGGGGGTTGGATGTGATGAAAAAAAATCCTGAAATGAGGAGATATAGCCAATAGATTATATTTATACGGTATATTATGGAAATTGGATATATCTAAATTTGAAGACCTCACTGCAACTGTAAATGATGGTTAGGATTGGGTAGAAACATGATAGTTTATCCATGCTATATGTACCATCCGTCTTGGACGGTACAAATGGTACCTTTACTCAAATTTTTCAACTGTTGATCCTAATTCTTTTGCCCACTGCATGTCGATGATAACATGTGGTCTGATATACTCGTGTTGATTAACCTCCACTTGAGTTCTTGTCAAGATTGCTGGTTTTGTTTGCTTCTATTTTATGTGCCAACATATTGGTCAAAGAACTATATATATATACAAATATATATATATATGTATATATATACATAGATATATACATATATATATATATACATATATATATACATACATATATATATACACACATATATATATATACACATATATATATATCCTCCAGTAATCAAAGATGGCTTGCCAACAAATCCTTCATTAAGTTTCATGATTCTCCCATTGATTGACATCTCCAGCGCGGGGATTTCCCAGTGACATTTCACCAGCTTTGATGACACCGGATGGTAGCAAATAACCTTAAGTATCCATTACCCTCTGGTAATTTAACATATGGGGGAATTTACCCATTGAAAATGGTGATTTAATGGGATTTTAATGGGATTTTATGGTGATCAATAGGGATTAATGGAACATACCCTCTGGTAAATATACACAAAACTATTGAAAATAGCCATAGAAATAGTGAGTTTTCCCATACAAAATGGTGATTTTCCATAGCTATGTAAACGTTTACCAGAGGGTAATTCTCCATTGATTGTCCATGAAAACTGATCATTGAGAATTACTGTAATTGATTAGCCTAAAATTAACTGATCATTTAGTTAGCTGATCATTTCTCAATGGAATCACCCAAAGATCATTGCTGCCGCTTCCCTTTTCCGCTCTCTCTCTCTCACACACAACGTTAGACCTTGAGCATCGCCGAATTTATCTGGGTTTGTCCGAAAATATGATACCCCCAAAAAATCCATTGGTTCATGATCACGTTCCCTATTCAGGCCCTATTCGACCATTTTCGGAGTTTCCCTATTTTCACACAAAAACCATATTTACCGCTAGTTTTTTCTTCATATACAGTATTCCCAATATTTTCCTCATATTTTCCTCCCATACTGTGGATGGAAGAAATCCTACACCAGTTGACAGGTGGTAAACATCCCATTACTTATAGGGTTTCAACCATCCGTTAGGTCCGTTAGGTGGTGCAGGATTCCGCAACCATCCACAGTATGTTCCCAAGATTTTTCCCCATATTTTTCCATCATCTTCTATTTCATATGGTTTATCCACCTATAAATAATGGTAGAAACCCTATAAACAATGGGATTTTTCCCCATATTTTTCTGGTTCCAGTTCCCATATTTACCATACCAGACCGAGGCGTACGGCCCTGGCGGGACAGGTATCCATGGGCTCTAGTGCCGAGGTGCTGCTGGATGATGGGAAATGGGTACCTATAGGGTGGATGGGCCAGCGAAATCCGAATCACCAGTTGATAGGTGGTAAACATCCCATGATTTATAGGGTTTCAACCATCCAAGGTGTGTGGGAAATGGATAATGAATCCGGTCAACTATATGATCTATATGTATTTTGGTTAATGAAACAATGAGAAATGGGACACCCAATTTTTTGTCTTTTCAATTGCACAGGTACCATGTTTTTTTTTTAAGTTCCTTTAAAAATGAAAACCATGGGAACATGGGTCTGTCTGAAAATAGGTTCCAAAGTTGATGGTTCATCATGTTTTTTCTCATTGAAATTGGCTATTTGATGGATATGCACCATTTTCAGACATGCCCAAACAGATGACTAATAACAACAAGAGATAGTTGTCATATAGGATATATCCATTGGTAATAACATCCATATCCAAAAGCGATTCCCATGTATATAACAAGCAATCGGATATATGTAGATTTGGGATGTAAATGGGATAATATATATATATAGTGAACATATAAAATAATTGATAACAACAATGGATAATGAGACAAAAAAATGGCTATATATTTGCATAACATGGATACACACACACATATATACATACGTACATATACGTATATATATATATGTATATATATATACACACGTGTGGATATTCTTCTGGATGGATATATTGTTTGATTACCAGAATGTGTATGTATATATATATAGGATACATAGTGTGGGCATATGAATTTGGCTAATAAGAACAAATAGAGAGTGCATGGACTATTAGTGAAATTTAACGAATAAGATTGATATGTATCTGGATGAATTTGGCAATCCCCAAATGCCCGCAATTTTCAGCTATTTTCAGGCCAGTGAATTATCTGAATTCAGCCATATGTGTATATATATATTGAAATATATTGGGTATCTCAAATCACTAATAACAACAAATGGATCATGATTTTAGATACCCAATATAGTTGTTATTTCTAAACTCACTAATGGATCATATAGTTCTTATTTCACTAGTGGTTATTAACTGGATAAGAACTACATATAGTTCTAATGGATAATATCCTAGTGATAATATATATATAGTTATTTCTAATGAACTTGACAATGTAGTTATTTCTAATGGATAATTAACAAATACATATAGTTCACTGGATTGGTTCAAGGGAAATCTACAGAAACTGGCTGAGTTCCCCTTGCTGAGTTCGAATCCTCCATGTAATTCCGGGATATCCCCGCATAAAATCTTTCTTGTGGGCCCTGAAAAGCAAATCCAAGTAGGGGGATACCTATCTATGTATATAATATATTTATGTATGTATGTATGTATGTATGTATGTATGTATTGGTATGTATGTATTGGTATGTATGTATTGGTATGTATGTATTGGTATGTATGTATTGTAATGTATGTATTGTAATGTATGTAATGTAATGTAATGCAATGCAATGCAATGTAATGCAATGTAATGTAATGTAATGTAATGTTATGTAATGTAATGTAATGTAATGCAATGCAATGCAATGCAATGTAATGTAATGTAATGTAATGTTATGTATGTATGTATGTATGTATGTATGTATGTATGTATGTATATATATATACATACGTATTATATATAATTAATATACATACGCGATCTCGTGGATTCAAATTCGAATTTCTGCATTCCAACCAAAATCATGGAAAGCTACGGCTAGCCGTTTTATACGTCAACAATAGAGATACAAAAAGCTCCGTGCAGAAGGGTTGGGGCTGAAGAGGGGTGCCATTGGTGTACGCAAAGCTTTCTCTGACAATGTACGGGATGAAACCAGGACAATAAAGAATCGAACCAACCAACACATAAGGGGGGTTTGATTAAAATTGGTATGGTATATCAGCCAAATTCCATCAAATTCCAGTTTTCAAAACGATGATTTTCTGCAATTGGTTGATTCATTGAACCTCCCGTCACAGATTTGGAATCCCACGACAGATGGGGACAGAACTGAATGGGCCATGTGTTGCTTTGGTGCATTGAATGGTGGATATATTTTATATAGATAGTGACGTATGATGGAGAAATCCCAAACATGCTAGTGAAATTGAGGTGTTTGTAAAACCTCAACTGCTGAGATCTACAATTTCCCAAACATTGGGATATATCAGTCCATTTTTTCCAGGTAAACTCCCAATTTTACTGAGATCCCGTTGTGTTTCTCGGCTTCTGCCACGGCGAGGCTCTGCGCTTGGCCAAGGAGGTGAAGATCCTGTTCCACAAATTGGGGTCGCTCAGCAGGAAAAAACATACATTTTTTTCGGGCAATTTGTTGCAGGAGTGACTAGGCATGATGCTAGGTTGGTTACTTCATTTTTCATCAATCATCCATCATCCACCATATCCATTTCATCGTCCATTCATCATTTTTTCTGGTAATTTGTTACATAGCGAACTGGAAAGTGTCACAAAATCGTTGCTTTACCCATTAAAAGTGGCGATTTTCCATAGGTTTTTTGTATGTTTACCAGAGGGTAACTGGGAGAATCCATGGGAGTTTGATGGTGCGAAACAATGAGGGTTTAATGGGATTTTTGGTGGTGGTTTAATGGGACTTACCCTCTGGTATTTGTTACCCTCTGGTTATTTAACATAGCCATGGAAAATGGCCCATTTATAGATGATTTTCCCATTAATACCTCCATTTATAAGGGATTTTCCATGGCTATGTTAAATAACCAGAGGGTACATGGCGAACTGGAACATGGCCCATTTGTCGATGATTTACTTATTGAGAGTGGTGATGTTCCAGTGAGAAAAAATGGTTGAATTACCTGGTTGGGTGGGATAAAACTTGTTTGATTTGGGTTCTATGATTCCCAGTTAACAACTATAGTTCACAACTATAGTTCATTTACAGTTTATAACTTATATGTGTATATATATATATTGGCTAGATGGGAATAAAGCAATATGAATAGTTTTTACTAACAGGGTCATTAATGAGAATTATATGATACAACTATAGTTCATTGACTTGAGTTAATGGGATAATATATAACCAACCAATCATCATATCGCGTTCAACCCCCCTGTTGATTGTCACAGTCCATTATGGGAAATCTACTATTTGGCAATCTAAAAGTTGGCCATGAACATCACCATCAAATAATAAGTAAATCATCTATAAATGGGCACAGGGAATATATTACCAGAGGGTACTCGGCATTTTGCTTTAGCCGGCACAGATCTAGTTTTTCTTGCAAAACAAATCCAAAGCGCTTGGTAATTCCAAGCATTTTCCTTTTCACAATGGGGATGATGCCCCCAATTTGCTCCTCAAGTTTTCTAGGACTAGTCAGCCACATATTTTGGCCAAAGTGACTCGTGTCAACTCCGAAAGAAACGCCTGGTTGATTGAAGATCAGGGGGTTACTCCCAAACGTGTAATGATATTCTGCTGCCAAAATGGCACCATCAGTTTTTAAATCAACCATGGGTTGATTAAGGGATCAATTGTTTTGACTTATTCCCATTTCTTGTTGACACCCTGGGTTTGTGGGTCACTGGGTATATAATCCAATATGTCTCAGTTGCTTGTTGGTGAAAACCTTCATTTTCGAACATGTTCTTGGGCTAAATTCTCATCTTCATTGGATAGATAGAACTGCGAAGATTTCCGGAAAAAGAAACCAGTTTTAAGCAACCTCCATTTTGAAACTTCCGAATCCACGTTTGGGAACATCTTATTGGGGCTTAAAATGCCCTTGGAACGAGAGATTTTTCTATGCTAAGCTTCGAGGTTGAACATGATATGTGTGGATGGATGGTACGATCCCCCGCGCCACGAGGAAAAAGGAAATCGAAGAATCCTTGGATTCCTTGATCTTACAGCTGGAGGAGGCATGGCTACCATGGACCCCTTTTAATCAGGGAGTCCTGATGGGTACCATGCCCATATGAAATTCCCGAGCTGTGGGATAGCCATGATGAATAAATCCATGGACATGCTGGTAGTTTTCTCCACGCAACTAGATGAGTACCACCTGTATCTTGGGAATTTCCTTGGCTTCGTTGCTTCAATGGTTTGTTTTCAGGAAAATGTGTTTCCCGGATTGGTGCCAACAATGGACTGGAGCTGCTGGAAACACAGAAATTTTTCGGGACAGATAGACATCTATCAACAGAAACTCTTCAAATCTGTTAGAGTAAGAAAAACCTTGACTCATTTGATGATCAAAATATGGGGTGGATTTTTTACAACTCATATCACCATCCCAAACAGGTGGATTCCGTATGAGTTCATGTTCGAAAAAAAATGCATCCGACAAATTTGCAGGAAATCCGAATTTTGGGATGACTTCTTTCGCAAAAAACTTACCCTCTGGTGAACTAACATAGCCATGGAAGCCATGGGCCATAGAAATAGATGGTTTACCTATTACTGTATAGCATGGTGATTTTCCATAGTTATGTTCAATTACCAGAGGGTAAATTGTTTTTCCCCTAGAAAATCTGCATGATTTTTCCATGATCTGACATTTTGGGGTCGACTTTTCCGCTTTGCAGGAGCTTCCAAGAATCACTGCCATTCCACGCCGAACCATCTTGTAGAGCGCTGAGGGATGGTGGGGGTTGGGCTGGTGGTTGAAGCAAAGAACTTGGGGATTTTATCCGTAACTTGTGGAATCATTAGGGCAATATGGTTTTATGTGATTTTTGCAGGGTAGGGCGGGTAGGGGGTGCAACCATCGAAAATTTGGTGAATGAAACCCTAAACGCTGATCAAAGAATGGTGGAGTTCTGCAACCCTGGACCAGTAGCAGTGATTTTCTTTGGCACCTGAGAATGGCATCCGTGGTATCTTATGATGAAGACCCACTGTCTGAGCGACTTTTCAAAGACTCAAAGAGTCTGTCAGTCAGTTCAGTAGAGCATCTCACAGAGTTCATTGACCCCGGCCATCGACATCAGCTACAAAATGGGGTTTTCAACAGGCATGCTGAACCTTGAAGCAACTATGAATTATTGCCAAAATGCGGAAACAACCCAGGTCAACGGATTCCATATCAACATGCCAAGATTTCCCCTTTTTGTTGGATAAAACCGATAAAACCAGATAAAACCAGATTTTGGTCTGTCCAAAAATGGGGTACCCTCAAAATCTATCTTTTAAATAATCATTTCCCTGTGCCATCCCAAAATCGATCGAACAGTTGGACACTTGGAAAATATACAGATCTGGTTGGTGGTGACTGGAACATGACTGGATTATGACTTTCCATATAACTGGGGGTTACCCGGCCTGGTAAACTAAGAACAATGATGATTTAATGGGATTTTACTGGGATTTTATGGTGATCAATAGGATTTTTTTATTTTTCCATTCAGTTGGGAATGTCATCATCCCAACTGACGAACTCCATCATTTTTCAGAGGGCGAAAAACCACTAACCAGATATCATCCACATTCCTCCTGATTTAGACCCGGGCGTCTTGAGACGAACTCAGGTCGAAAGATACCAAGATCAACCTGCAGAGCAATTTGCTCTTCTCCTCTGCCACCAACTGCATTGCCACTTTGGCCGGAGTGCGGTGCAGTGCTTCAACTCACAATGCTGAGAACATGGGGAAGACGGGGGATATTAACCAACGTATACTGTATATTTATAATATAATATATGTATCTAGATATATATATGCACTCTCTCCATATATATATAATAATGTATATACGTATATATATAATATGTATAATATATATATATATGTATGTATGTAATGTAATGTAATGTAATGCAATGCAATGCAATGGAATGTAATGTAATGTAATGTAATGTAATGTAATGTAATGTAATTAATGTATGTATGTATGTATGTATGTATGTAATGTATGTATGTATGTATGTAATGTAATGTATGTATGTATGTAATGTAATGTATGTATGTAATGTAATGTATGTATGTAATGTAATGTAATGTAATGTATTGTATGTATGTATGTATGTATGTATGTATGTATGGTATGTATGGTATGTATGGTATGTATGGTATGTATGGTATGTATGGTATGTATGGTATGTATGGTATGTATGGTATGTATGGTATGTATGGTATGTATGGTATGTTGGTATGTATGGTATGTATGGTATGTATGGTATGTATGGTATGTATGGTATGTATGGTATGTATGGTATGTATGGTATGTATGGTATGTATGGTATGTATGGCATGTATGTATGGTATGTATGTGTATGTATGGTATGTATGGTATGTATGGTATGTATGGTATGTATGGTATGTATGGTATGTATGGTATGTATGGTATGTATGGTATGTATGGTATGTATGGTATGTATGGTATGTATGTATGTATGTATGTATGTATGTTGGTATGTATGGTATGTATGGTATGTATGGTATGTATGGTATGTATGGTATGTATGGTATGTATGGTATGTATGGTATGTATGGTATGTATGTAATTAAGTAATGTAATGTAATGAATGTAAGTAATGTAATGTATGTAATGTAATGTAATGTATGTAATGTAATGTAATGTAATGTAATGTAATGTAATGTAATGTAATGTAATGTAATGTAATGTAATGTAATGTAATGTATGTATGTATGTATGTATGTGTTAATAAGTTTATTTACAGTACACACACATATATTTTATATATATATATATATATTTAAATACGTATACACATACATACACATGCATTGTTTGGGAAACGCTAAACTTCTCAATGATGGGTCAGTGTAGGAACGTGTTTTTCCATATTTTTTCAATGACGGCTTGTGCGGCTTGTGGACACCCCACCGCTGCCACCGCCCAAGGATCAAAATGCTTGTTGCAGCACTTGCCGAATTCAAAATCAACATCTTGCACTTGCACCTGACAGATACTGCGTCATGGCCGCTTGAGATTGAAGGCTACCCTGAGGTTGCGCAAAAGCTGAGCTACCGCGATATCAACGGTAAGGCTCTGACATACTCACGTGGTGACATCAGAGAATTGGTAGAGTTTCCAAACTGCAGCATGGTTTTGCAATGTCTTTTCTTGTGATTTTCTTGCAGACCTTCTGGTAGTCAAGCATGGGAATGGGGAAATCCCAATCCTTGCCGGGAAAGTCAACGATACATGAATATTCGCGCATTGAAACGTTTTTTGTTTTTGCCAGATTAAATTGCCATAGTCCATACATGACTTGGTGCATTTGGAATTTCCGCCAGGTTTGCACGCCTGCGTGGCGTCTCCATCCTGCCCGAGATTGATGGTCCAATGCATGCGCCGGCGCTGGCGGCTGCTTTGAATCTCACAGTGGCGGCTACGGTGAAGTTTTCGTTGCCAAAGTTTGCATATGAACCGCCGCCCGGCACTTGGAACATCTCCAGCTCAAATACCCTGGCCTTTGTCAGAACAGCTCTCACACAGGCAGCGGTGCGAAGTGGTGGGAGGAGTCAATGGTTTGCTTTTTAATTTTAATGGTTCACTTTTTTAAACACCCTGAGATTTCAAGAATTTGATTCAGTGGGTGTCAAGGCCGCAAGATGCCCAAGACCCATTGCCCCACGCCCATAGTACCCAGGTCAAGATCAGCTGGTAAATGGATGTTCATCCTCCATAATCCCAAAAAATTGTTCAGATCATAGGTTTCAACTGGCTTTCACATTTTAAATTGAACATTTTTAAGCCCATCCATCCCCCCATCTCCAAGCTTTGTCAGGTTGAAGAGGATTTCACCACGGCACCCTTTCTGCACGTGGGCGGCGATGAGCCCACAGCGGCCTCGCTGTGTGCGTTGCTGGAGCAGCCTCTGCGTCAGCAATGCTGGGAACAGTGTAGCTCCACCTCCGCGCACGGCTGTGCTGCTGTGCCAAAGAAGCCGAAGGGGAGCAACATCACGTGGTGGTTCCCGGAGTATCTCAACCAGAAAGTGCAGGACTACTTTGATCCCAGTCTAAAGAAGGGACCTGACAAGAGCTCACAAGCTGCTTTGTGAGGGAAACGAGACCCCAAAATGTGAACTACTTAGAGGATCACCCCACTGGAGGTAACTGGTTAATTAATACTGGTGTGTTTGTGCGGTTATACACCAGATTATACATAGGATAGTCTAGATACTTAGGGGACTTTGTAATTGGTCATATTAACACTTAAAGAGTACATTATTTCCAGTGCTCAACTCCTTTCAGCCCACAAGCTACCAAGGATGGTGTCATTCCGTCTCCTGCGAAGATTCCCCGGGCAGCTTGGTCAGGAGCTGTAACGGATATGGCCGTGCAACTGCCACCCACCAAGTTAAAAGAAAAGTCGGTGCTGCAGCTCTGGACGTTTCCCTCATCAGATTCGACCTCACCAGCGATTTCAGAAGAGACGCAGCTGCACATGATGTGCACATATCAAGAAAAACATATTCATACATATTCACAAGAAAGCGAAGCACTTGAAGTGGCTTGGGATACGAAAGCCATGATTGACACAGAAAGATTGTTTTACATCACTTGTGACGGAAAGGATCAGGGAGTGCTGCTGTATTTCTACTTCATGGCATGACTAGATGGTGGCGGCGAAAAATTGCACTGCATGATATTGCATATGTCTTGTAAGGCCAAGCAAGTGGAAAGATCAATGAGAAGGTAAAGAATTAATTAATTAGATGATCGATAGACAGACAGAGATAAACACTACAGATGTCTTTTTGTCAATGGGTCCAGCTATGTCCAGCTCATTTCACCGAGGAGGATTGCAACAAGTATGATCTGATCCAAAGTGCCGCAACATACCCACAGGACAACTCCAACTATGGCTGGCTGTACATGGATTGTGGATCAGGAGCCAATTGGATTTCCATGGGTCCTGACTATTGGTGCGCCCGTGCTTCGTGGGCAGCATTATATTCGCTCAACTCCACTCAAGGATATGGTTCTGCACTGAAGACGCACCGCTGTCAGAAAGCTTTCCTCGGAGCCGAGATGGCACTTTGGTCTGCCGGCCACACAGCTAGTGCAGCTTTCAAATTATTTGAATCAATAGGATAGTAACGGATAGTAGGGTCACCAGACTGTGCGGTTCATCATACCTGTTAGACTTGGGTCACGGCATAGAATTTGAGATTTCTATCAGGCTGGATGGCCACTTTTGGTAGCTCCGAGATTTCGCCCATTTACCCCCCAATATGCTGATCGGCGAGGTCGGAGATTGGAGGGATGGGTTGCTTGGCAGAAGTGGGTGGTGGTTGAAAGTACCAACCAGATTATGTATCTATTTACAGTATATAGATGTAACTACTATGTGATCATATACAACTATATATAAATATATATAATGAATAGATTTTACGATCAATCATCTATATGATATAAAATTTTGTTTCTTTCGCTTTGCTTGTTTTTCCTCCAGGGGATGCAAGGGCTGTTGTCCCTCATGGCCTCGCTGGCCTGCATGGCCTGCAGTCGGTTTGTGTTTGTAGAGTTTCCCTAAAAATCGTAGCCCATGCCCATCTCCCATTTTCAGACACGCGCAAATATCAAATTGTTGGGCATATTAAAAAAAATATACCCCCATGATATCCGCCTGGTACCCCCATTGATATCCCAGTTATACCGTAATCCAACGTGGCAATGGAACAGGCAACGGGATGGCCTTGATCTTCCCCCGCGCTGCAGCCTTTGCAGAGCGGATGTGGAGCAACCCAGCCGCTTTGAGAGTGGAGGACATGACTGGTGGCACACCACCAGGGCACTACTGGCAGAGCCATTTGAAGGATGCCCTAAGCAGGTTGAATGAGGCTGGGAACCAACTTGTAACGAACTAGAGTGGGAATATGAGGGGGTACGATTTAACCACTAAAATGATTTTGGGATATTTTGGGTGTCTGAAAATGGGGTATACCGTATATACCATGGAGTTCATGTGCCAGCATTTTTTCACCTGAACAGCAGGGTGCCACCGGGGGCTTGGATCTCCAGGTAGTGGCCAACTTTGATCTGCTCCACCTGGGTGTATCTCACTTGCAGCCGGAGTTCTGCCGCGTGCATCCTGAGTATTGCAACGAGTACACCAGTGGCATCTATGAGGCTTGAGAACTGGACAGTGATGGCCCCCACATTTGTAGCACATTGTGGTGTAGCCAAGTGCCCACAAGAGGCAGAGTTGGAGAAAACAATGACGGCGGATGGCCTTACTTGGAACCCAAAGGAGTCCCATTGCACTGCAATTGATCAGCTGGTGTTTTCTCGGGTTGTATTGGTTCTAGAGGCAACCAAATTCTCACCTGTTTAGCTCAAACAATGTCTTGGTCTTGGAAGTTCTTCCAATGTATGCGTGCGCGCAAAATGAGAGGTTGTATAGCTAACATATACAACTTGTACAGTACTTGTACTACCCAAGCTATCGGGCATACTCCATCAAAAAATCCCGATGAACCAACCTCCAATTGATCGGGAATACCGATCCGGGTTTTCGATCGCGCTCATCGCAGGAGTTCAAACAGATCGTTTAGATCCTGAGGAAGTCTGTAATTTTTGCTGGCTTTTGATGGTGTTCATCGAGAAATGTCGTTATGAAAATTGATATTCCATTCATGTTGATGACAAACTTGGTGGATGTTTATGACATTTTATGACTTTTGTGGATATCTTCATAGTTGAAGCTGCTTCAGATCGAATCAGACCCAAGCAGAGGATCCACGAGGGTTCTGCTGCTGAAGGCGTTGCAGCTTCACTTGGAGAAAATAAACTTCGAGCGATTTCACTGCCTTACCAGCGCATAAACATGCATAAACCATGATAAAGGGAATCATCCCTATCAAGAAGTATCCAGATTCATCCGGTGTCATGTGATCACTCTGCCCTTGTCGTTGGCTGAACGGCTGAACACCGTTTGGGCTCCAGCTTGATCGAAACTGACACGAACCTTCCCAGGAAACTCTGAAGCGAGTGTGAACAATTTCAAACTTGATCTTGGGACCCAACACTCTTCAAGACCAAAATGTTTGAGGATCACCAATCAACAACCACTTGCCAGCTGAGCATTGCGCTGAATAGCGCTGTCGGTGCCTTTTTTTGTGCCATGTCGCCATGCGTCCAAAGTTGGGCGGCAAAAAACGCTTCCACAAAAAGAAGAAACGAAGCGCACAGAGTGACTTCGCCATCGATGAAGAGACCGGCGAGACGGGTGAGACGGCCGAGTTCGCCGACGAAGTTCCTGAAATAAAAACTTTCAAGTTGTGACACCGATTTTTTTGATGGGCTCCAAAACAAGAATCATTGCCCCAAAATAGACCATCTATGCATACAGGAGAGACTTTTGGGGTACAAACAAAAAAACCACGCATGTCTGTATATTTGTGTGACGTCCGGTGGTTTCACACGGGGTTTTAACCACAGGTTGCCCACCCCCTTCACATGCACAAGTTCCAAGGGTATGTTTTCCATTTGTACCTGGGAAGATCCCCACCAACATATATTGGTCAGGGGGATTGAAGCATATTGAAACCTCCCAGAATTGGTTAAAGGGAACCTTTCTAGGAAACCCTCATGTTTCATAGAAAAAAAACGAGTTTGAAGCGTAGATTCTCCCTGAAACCAAGCCATCATCACGGGTCAGGATGAGTCGTCCTGGAGGTCGGCTCCCGTGCGTGGCATCGGCATCATCGTGTTGTCCATCGTGGCTGGCTTTTCTTTAGCTTCGCTGGTGCTCCAACCTTGGCGAGACTTAGCGACGGAAGCTGGGGTCAGAGGTGACATGGGCGACATGGCTGGAGCCATGGGCAGTTTTCATTTACCATCCAACTGATTAAACATTATTGAACTATGCAACATCAATATGAACCATCATGAACCATCCATCATTTTTGGTTTTTCTCTTAAAGACTTTCCAGAAAGCCGAAGCCAATGAATCAATTAGTGGATTTTTCTGGCGTTTTTCACATTTTCATTTCCCAAATCCAGCGGTGTCTTGGCCGCCCAGGTGAGTTTCCCGTCCCAGACATCTCCACGGCCGCCATGGAGCCGCCACCGCTGGAAGCCGTGGCGCCGCCGGCGCCGGATCCGCCGGAGGCGCCGGCGCCGGATCCAGCACCGGTCGCGGTGCAGGTGGTGAAGCTTCCAGTGACGCGTCATGGGGATGTGGTGGTGGGGAGATCCAAATTTGGGAGAAAAGGCACCATGATTTTCCAACATATAGCATCATATATCATCATATATCATCATATATCTATGTCCTATGTCATTCTATGTCTATATTAGTATATGGACCTACCATCCGATCCCGATTGAAAACTGGGTCAAGTCATTCCCTTTGTTGGAATCAAACATGATTAGTGGTGGTATCGACAATCTTGTGGCTTCTATCCATCATATTATGAAATCATATAGATACATTATTTATGATGGACAAACTATCAGGTCAACTATCATCCATATATTATCATAATATATATATATGTACACATATATATATATATTTATTACGACTCATTATTACCATCATTCTTACCATCTTGTATCATCATCTATGACCATCCACATTTTATATATGTTTGTATCAATTGTTGTGGTGATGGGTCAACGCCTAAGAGCCCAGCATTGGACAACATCCCAACACAGACTATTGATATTCAATTTGGGAATGTTCACCAAATTTGATTCTAGGAAAAAATTGACAGTGAACCTTCATACCTGGTGGTGAAAACTATGGTATGGTTTCCGGTTATGATTTTCCATGGGTTTTCTCAAAAACCATGGGTTTCCATCGAAGATTTGAAATCACCGAGGCCACTCGACAACCCGGCAATTTCAACGACCCGAAGGTGCTCTGGGTCCATTTGCACAGCTATGGTGGCACCACCATCTGTGATTTGGCACGTGCGCATGGGGAGAAGGTCTCTCCGCCCAAGGACAATTGTACCGAAGTTGAAGTGGTGGGAAATGAACTGTTTGGAGCTGTTTGGCTGGTGATTTTTGAGATCTGACGTGAACATTTTTGGAGGTCAATCTTTTTGAACTGCCACACGGGATAAATAAATTGATGCCTTTTTAAGAATTGCTGATGAACACACCAGTCCATTATTCTATATTCATGATTGGGATCTTCCTAGGCAGGGTATTGACTCACAACCATACAGCTGAGTCCACCATAGCATCAGTCACTGGCGCTCAGGTAACATTATGCCAGATGGATGTTCCACTCCAAAGGCTTTTCGCATCCCTTGCAGAAAGCGTGCAGCCGCTGGATTTCATCAGTTGCGGTTGCTGTTGCGGTTGCTGGAATTCCCTTAACTTCCATAGTTCATGACCTAACCTGATTAGGGGTGTTGAACATTCATGAAAATTCCTTTGGTTTCACACCTACTTCGGATCATGACCCCCAGTGAGTAATTTTTTTCGGTGGCTCAAACAACCAATTGACTTTTTTAAGCATCAATACCCCTTTTCACTGGGTGGCCAAAAAGAACCATCCAAAAACCATCCCATGTTTTGTCTGGAAATGGCTATTTCATTGTGGTAGTGAAGGTAATGAAGCTTCACGAAGCCAACCCGTACATCAAAAGGGATTGTTTCGGATTCCAGGCCTATCTTGGACGGATTCGGGTCATCCCAGAATAGGTTTCAGGGAAAATCTGCAGGAAACCATAGGAAGCCTCCAGATTTTCCAAAACACCATGGTTTCCGGTTGGAATTTTCGTGAATTTTCCTGGGGATCCATTGAGGTCAGTACGCAATACACCTTCTCAGCTGTTGAACGAGTACTTGATGAAGATGACTTAAAATGCTCAGGCGGCTCTCAAAACATGTCTCTTGTCATGATTTAACATGATTTAACATGATTTAACCAGTTGCCTGGCTGTTCAATGTTTGGCTATACTGGCGAAAGATAGGTTCCTGGTTGATGGGTTTTGACATTTTGGAGGAATACAAGGGCTAAAGTTTGCCATGCTGTGCGGGTCGGCTTTGAAGCAGATTGACCCACTTGTGGCACAGTGGCCGACCGGGCCATGTGTCCTGGTGAGAAGTGACTCAGGAGGTTTCAAAGACTGCCCCGCAAATGCGCCCCTTCTGCACCATTTTCTTCCGTGTGTTCTGCTCCCGAGGCTCTTTGGTATCATGCTCAGAGATCCAGTGGCGGGTCTGAAATCCACCCTGATCGGCAACGAGTTTGAAAAGGGAATCATACTGCAGACCCTTCGCAGTCATGTCGTTATGAGGACTGCCTGAAAAAATATCCAACTCTGTTGGTGTAGATTCAACTGGAAGTCAGAAAGCTATCATGGTCTTCCATTTTGTTTTTCTCTATACGTCTATGTCTGGCTGGAGAGTAAAATTCACAACTTGAAAGGCAGCTCTGATGTGCAAAGTCTGCCCAAGTTTCTTTGAACATCGAATCCATCCAATGTCGGACTAGTGTTAGCAAGACTTGTGGGTCAAAGCCATGGTTTCCTGTAAACAACTTCAGTTTACCCTCTGGTAAACTAACAGACCAACATAGCTATTGAAAATGGCCATTAGTTCGTTGATTTATCCATGAAAAATGGTGATGTTCCATAGTTGTTTGTATGTTTACCAGGTAAATCCATGGAATCCAGGAACTTGGCTTTCCATTTCTGTCTGCCGCCCTTTGACACCTACCAACACTTCGACAATTTCGCCGTGCGCACCCTGAGTGGCGACTATGATGTGGCGCCAGGGGAGGTTACACGCCAACATCTGGAGAAAGCCAAAGGAGACCGGGCTCCCTGTGTTTTCTGGTTGGAAGAGGTCAAAATTGGGGAAGCCAAAGGAGGACCCACCCAAGTCCTTCCGAGTATCGCCGCATAGGGTCTCAATGTTCATGGAGTCTCCTGCAGATGAGATGAACCAGCTTTATCAATATAGAGTCTTAATACTATATATATAATATTCATATCTAAAGATGTACACAATATTTACATATAGTATCCGGTAATATCCGGTACGTATAGATGATGACAAACGCATATGTATATCTAGCAACACTATATATATATATATTATATATTATATACACAACATTAATCTAGATATGTTGTATATCATCCTTGTCATTGCGAGGAGTTTTGTCCAAGCTTGATGTGGTCCTCATCATGGAGGACTTGACGGATCACCTGGCACAGCTGCGTGCTGTCTTTGGCTGGGACGTGGACGTGGATCGGAGCGTTTGGCATTCGCATTGGCATCGGATTCCCAAGAACGTGCCCTGGTTTAAGGATAATTTAATGATGGAATTCAATGGTGGTTTAACGGGATTTACGGGTGATTCAATGGGATTGAGTCGTGATTTTATGATAATTCAATGGTGATTTAATGATAATTCAATGCGATATAACGGGATATCATGGAATATAAAGGATAGACCAAGATTTTTTCGAAGAACACAGATGACTCAACCACCCAACAAAAATGGTGGAATAATTGGGGTACAATAAACAATATACTGGAGATGTAGTGGTATATAATGGGATATAATCGGATTTAATGATGATTTAATGATAATTCAATGGTGATTCAAGAATAATCTACTGGGATAAAATGGATAGACAAATCCCAGCCACAAGATCCATCCATGAAGATTCCGTTAATATCTATGAATGACCAGACATATTTGTAAATCTATGAATCAATGGATAGGCTTTTGTGGGTTAATGTTAAGCGGAAACCCATGGGGTTTTTCCTCCCAAACATATCGATGGCCTCCACTGGTCGATGGTGTTTCCACCAAAGGTTTTCGATCCCCAAAAGGTGGAGATGGGGAATTGTCACCCCAGATAAACTGGTGATATAATATCATTGTGCTGGTATAACATGGTTGCCTGTATAACTGATTGTTCCTTGATATATATCTATCAAATGGCACTGAAGAATCCAGCTGAACATGAGTGAGTGACTGGTTGATATTTGTATATATTTATGTTTGCGTCAGCCTCTGTAGATTCAACATCTATCATGCCAGAGGGAGACATTGCTTCAATTTTGTAGATGATTTAATCCCAGTGGTCGACAGCTACTGGTTGATACTCAGTACTCGGATTCTGGAAGGAGGTTGTCCTGTGAAGCAGGTCTTCAGCGTTCAAGAAGCAGCTTTTCTGAAGGAGGTGAATCATTTGGATTATGAACTTTATGAGTTTGCTCAAACATTAGCACGACAACTCACTGCGCAAGCACAGCAGCGGCTGTCGCGCTAGTTCCGCTAGTTGCTTCGCGCTGATGTGAGTCATCCAGTCACCCCTTTGGATCCCCTTTGGTCGCTGACCCGTGGTGAATCAGTGAACGCTTCCCAAAACGGGTCGCTTTCCACATCCTGCCATCCTGGCCCTCAAAGAAAGGGTGCCTTGGGAACTCCAGCGTCACGGCTGCGACAAAGTGATGCACCAGTGCTTGGAAAGGGGACGATCGTCGAGTCGTCACCATGCTTTGGGGAGGGAGGTATTGAAAATGCCACTGATATTCCACTATTAACATTATAAACTGATTATCTCCTCTCATAAACAATTCAACCAGGGGATGTTTCTTTCATCACCTAAGACTTTGATAGGCCACAACTTCGATTTCGAATTCTTCGATTTCTTTTGGATCAAAAGGATGGCTTCTGGTGCCCTTAAGGGGCCGTCTCTCCATTTGGAGGCCAATGGGTAGGCAAAGTTGTGCCAGGGTATAACAATGGGGATATAGATGGATATAGTACATATGTAATGTAATGTAATGTAATGCAATGTGCAACCCCCCTTTATGTTATGCGCAACCCCCCCCTTTCGCCCACACACATTTTTTTTTAGGAATTCAAAAGATATTGATTCAAGGGAATCTTAACGATGTTTCAAAAGAGTTTCTAGGGAATCATCAAATCCCCACCCCCGTTAACGTTTATATTCAAGGGAATTTTCAAGGAGTTTAGAGTGTAGGGTTTTAGGGTTTAGGGTTGTTGTTGGTGGTGGTGATGATGATGATGACGACGATGATGATGATGATGATGATGTAACATTCAATGAACAGGTTGCGAAGCAGTGCGTTGCAAGATGAAAGCTATGATCATGGGACATGTGCATTTTATCGCACAAAACACAGTGTTTTTGATGTTCGGACACGTGGTGGACGTCGGCGCGGGCAAGAGGAGGGGTTTGCCCATAATGTTATGGTATGGTATGTTATGTTGTGTTATTTTATGTATGTATGTATGTATGTATGTATGTATGTATGTATGTATGTATGTATGTATGTATGTATGTATGTATGTTGTGTTGTGTTGTTTTATGTATGTATGTATGTTATGTTATCTAATGTATATAATGTAACGTAACGTAACGTAACGTAACGTAACGTAATGTAATGTAATGTAATGTAATGTATGCATGTATACATATATATATATAATTATATATACATAGTGTGGATATAGTAGAATTATATTCACACGCACATTATCAATGGTTGTTTGTTGTGGATCTATGAAAGCAACTTCCATGGCCCCATGGCCATTCTTGTGATCCTCTTAGAAGATGCACGGTAAAAGCTGGTGTCTTGGATCTTTTGAATCTCTGAGTTGACAGCAGAAAGAACATTTTGGGATGGCCCATCCAGACAATTCACAAAACATCAGTTCACGCATGGATCCCAGAATTGTTCGGGGATTTCCGTGGATTTCCCAGCGTTGTTGATGGGGATTTCCCATTGTCTGGTGAGACCGGAGAGGAGCTGGCCATTCTCCGCCAGGCCAGATATGCTATCCACTCACCGATCCGATCTGTTTTAGCGCCCTGGCATGGCAAGATGTACCCCACGCCAAGTGACAATTCGTGATCAGTGACACACACACACACGCATACATGTATATGCGTGTATATATATAATATATATTATAATTATATATAATATCTATATTATATATATCTATATTATATATATATTATATTATATATTATATATATAATATATAGATATACACATACATGTATACATAGGCCATGTTTTTTTTTGACTTGATATATTTAGACTATCTATATACATATACCATATATACCTAGACGCTACCTGATGGCTTCATTGTTTCAACGGGGTGATGATCCCTAAAGAGGGGAAAAATACAGCAAGCAGTGCGCCAAGTGACCACCCAGTCCTGACCCACTGTGACAACTGCCCAAGCGAACGATTCACACTGACCTAACCGCTGGAGTTGAATATATCCTTGATGCAAAACTACCGAAAACTCCCTTGATGCACAGTTTCCCAAGTATCTACTAAGAGGCCAGCTAAGGTACCTACCTTCTCTTGCTGCCTACACAAGTAAGAACACAAGCACACCATGGCATAGGGGAGGTTGCATCCTAACCTCTGTAACTATTATATCTGTGGTCCCATGCAATATGGGAGGATCCCTTTCCTGGATTGTAATTCTTGATTCTGTTCATAGGTTGGTTGCGCAGAAGAATGTGCTGGTTACATTCCCCATTTTCTTGGCGATCATCCCAATTTTGATTGGTGAACTCCCAGAAATTGTTGGTGAGAATTCACCATTTAATATGGTTAAATCCCCAAAATTGGGCACCTTGCCCTAGATTCATCCGACTTGATGTCGTTTTACTTCACGTGCAAACACGGGGGTTCAGGGTTAACCTATTTTCAGACAAAACCCCACTTGGGGTTTGAACACAGCTATGAGTTTTGAACCATTTACGATCCATGAATTGAAATTCCCATCAATTGGGGGCCCATATCCAATTTTTCGGAAAACATTATTTTGCTGCTCAAATCAGTTGTTTGTTCCAATTTTGCTTATATACCCCTGGCTTGTTGCTTATACCCCCAACTTAGCCAATCCCGATTCTATGATTGCTTGACTAGACACATTCCATATTTTTTCCATATTTTTCTGCCAAACATTTAGTAGCATGCCACATTTAATTAAAATCCCAGCATTTGTTGCTAATATCCTAATATGTGTTTCTTATATCCAACCTATTTGCTGAGTAGAATCCTTATCGTTGCTGCCAAAAACTAGGTTATATTCATTGATGACATCACAACTTGGGTTGATAGAATATTCAATTCAAGTAGTCTCCAATTAGCCTTTTCCAAGGGATTGATTCAAATTCCAATATTTGCTGCCCATCCCATAGTATCCATAGTTTGGTTGCTTATATAATTGTGTTATTTCTTTTAGTTGCGGAAGAATCACCAAAAAAAAGTCCCCAATATTGATCCCCTGTTATTTGAACCACCATTTTTGCTGATGATAGAAGCTTCAGTGAATGAATTCCCTACTCTAGTTTGTTACTGTAAATCCAATATCGGTTGTTTTTATTCAATCTTTTGTTTGTCAAATCTCAATCTTTTTGGTTGATGATCCATCTCCAGATATTCCACTAGAAACTTCCAAAGTTTGGTGGATAAAAAACATCATTGCTTGATTGAACTCCCAAATCAGATTTGTAAATTCCAAATCAAACAAAGGTTCATAAAACATCAGAGCAATCCTCAATTTATATCCCCATTGCTTGATAAAATATCAAAAAAATATGGCATATACAAATGATTTGTTGTTTATATTCCCACAAACATCCCAACTTGTGTAGTGAAGTCCCACTTTTTTTGATGAAAAAAAACAATATTTACCACCCATATTTTTCAGTAAGCATAATCTGCGTATGGCCATGTCCACCTCCGAAACTTAGGAACCGCACGTTTCAATTTGATGTTCACCAGGCTATCATACTTTTAGCCAAATGAGAAATTAAAAAACACATGGTTGTTGTTTTTTAAAATAGGAGCTATACTCCTGGGAATATTGGTGATTATGAACTACCCCATAGTAGGGAAACCTATCAACCAAGTAATTTTGTTATGAGATGGGATAGGGTGATTTTTCATTAGGTACTCCCTTTTTTTCATCATTTGGGTTTGTCTGAAAAATTAGGAGGAACATCCCAAATCCCATGGGGAATCTCATGAGTTTCCCTATTAACATCCCAGTTGTCATCAGTTTTTCATGCAGTCATGGCCCTTTACAGTCATAAATGGGATGACATAATTCCTGCAACTGGTAGGTTATATATCACTTGATTATAGATTATAAAGCAATTATAACACTTGAGAACTACAACTGTATAGGTCACGATATGGGTCACTAATGGCTTATGAATGATTGTTACCATTTAAACCGCTTAAAATGCTTAAACCCAGCATTTATACACTAACCCTTTGGTAATTTAACGCATCTATGGGTTTTATCAGCCTTCAGACACAGCAATTTTCAGGTGATGCGCGATGGGTTGTGGCGTTTCGGCTTCGGGAAGGTACCTGCCCAGCGAAGCTGGGAAGACCCAGGCCGGAAATTTTCACGAAGAACGGGCCAACTGAAGGTGATTTGTGGCTGATTTAACTGGGAAAACAATATTAATGGGTGATTTAATGGGTGATTTAATGGGTGATTTGTGCTTTACCACTAGAATTGTGCCTTAAAGAAACTCTTGCCAAGATTTGCCTGCGATTGAGTGGAAATGATGTAGCAAATATACGATGATGTAAAGAGGCAAAGTACATCAAAACCCCAACAATGGGTTGGTGACAAGAGTCACCCCCGCTCATCAGCCATTCTTCAAGTTTGAAGCTATGACATGATAGCAGTGATTCAGTCTTCAGATTTAAATGAAACCATATGAAACCTCTTTATTTTGTGGACTCTCTATACAAAGTTATACAAAGTTGATGACGATTTCTGGGCGTCACTTGCTCCGGAAAAACTGTTTTTCTCAGGCCAGCGCTACAAGCTCCACCAGCCTGCGGGAGTACTTCCAGAACCACTACAAACAAGGAGCTACCTTTGAACACAGCGAATACCAGGCGGCCCGGTCCTGGAGTGTCTCTGATGGTTTCAGGATGTTGAAACAGCTCCTGGCTGTTTCATTTTTTTCCGAAGGTTAGTGATTTCTTTGAAGGTTCATGAAAAAAACGGAAAGAAACCTGGTGGTTTGAAAGCGTCAGGGATATTGATGTCGGGTGCCACAACATGGAGCCAAACGTTATTGAAGTACTAGTTCATTAATCTGGGTAAGTTATAACGACCTCACTGCGACCTCACTGGAATCATGGTTAATAAGGGGAATCATATCCAAATGGCCTTAATTTAGGTTGGTGAAATATTATAATTTACCCAGATTAATGTTCATTATATCAGCCAATGGTTAGAGTTACTGGTTGGTGATTTGGAACATTTTTTATTTTCCCCAATAGCTGGGATGATGATCCAATCTGACTAATATTTTTCCGGAGGGTTGAAACCACCAGTTAAGTTATGTTCCCCCTTGCAGGATGATGATGGAGAATGGTGTTGGGTACACAAGGGAACCACGATCAAGGCATCAGCCGGGCCGGCGATCTTCTGTGCGATGGTCTCGGTGGTTGCTGGTTAATTGTCAACGATGTGTACTGTTTCAATACAAGATTTACTGGCGATCTTAGATTCTTTCAGTATACAACACTTACACAATCTTACACACACGTATAATGAACAAATGTTACTTTGGCCGCCATGTCATTTTTCCAGATCCGGTGTGGTCCGTTCAGTCACAGCATCTCCGGCCAGGTTTTGCCATGGGCAGCTGAAAACGATGTACCAATTAGATCCAATTATATAATATGTTTGGACAAAGTGATACATAACTGAGGTTTATCTCATTTATGAATGGGAGAAGTAGCCACGATTATTGACCACAGAGCAAATGGGACACACCTCCAGATGGCCTCTGTCATAAATCGGTCTTGAAACACGTCCAGCTCTAGATATCTACTTGGTGAGCTAACTTACCCACGGGGCGGTCCTTCATGCTCATGTGGGAGACTACCTCTAAATCCCTATCAAGGCGCCTTGCGCAGGGATTCTTCCAAACATCAAATTCGTGGGGAAGAACGCAATGATATCATTTCCCCATATTTCCCCTATGATATCCCAATTCTAGTTGTTTCATATGTTGACTCAAAAAAATCATGGTGATTGGTCGTTTGTTTCGTCCATCAGGTGTGGAAAGATGCCATTGATCTCTCTCAGGGCCGCGGACACGAAGCCGTGGAATGTTTCTTCCACTACACATCAGAGCTTGGTTTCAGAAATATCACCAACACCAAGAAGGACAGGGAGACTGGGCATGACTGGGTCGGGGAAACATGTGGTGAAACCTCCCTTTATCCCTTTATTGGAAAACCAGTTGATCAGATACTTGGTCCAGCTATATATATATACATACATCTATATGATTCTATATGTATGTATATATATATAATATATCTCTATATCTATATGTATATTATATATATAATAATCATTCTGATAGAATATGGATCATTCAAAAAGTGCCCTCATTAAATTGGCCATATCTTTGACACTTCCATGGTTTATTTCAGGATGATTATACATGTTTCATGTTCCCTTTTGGTTTGCCAAAGTCGAGAGGAAGATGTTGAGATTTTCGTCCGAGTCTCAGGGAGCGTTTGGAAGTCCATAGTGTTCGCCACATCCCCAATGGCTTCGCATTTTTATGCGTATTTGTAATATTTTGTTATGAGTGGTATAAACATTTGTATTAATCCATATTAATCATGTGTATTCATTTAAGTACAATATTAGTATAAACTCCATATGAATTCGGCTGGTTGATCACATTGAACATCATCCATCCTTTTTTCCCAGGGAAGGGGCTCGTGATGCTGGTGGTTCCGGTGGTTCCGCTGAGGCTTCTCTGATGATTCAAGGAGAAAGAGCGACGGCCTGGTGGGGCCAAGGCGTGCGTTTTACTAGATGGGGATTTCCTACAATGGAGGTACCCCCAAATGGATGGTTCAAAAAGTGGAAACGCCTATGAAAATGGATGATTTCGGGTTACCCGGTTACCCCCATTTTAGGAAACCTCCACATGCAAGAAATGTGGAGCCTGAAAATGTAGAGATCCAAAACAATTCCAGGAAATACTGTGGATGGTTGCGAAATCCTGCACCACCAAAAGGCTGGTTGAACCCCTATAAATAAATGATAATAAATGGATGTTACCACCTACCAACTGGCGCAGGATTTCGCTGGCCAAGCCACAGTGAAGCCAGGTGTCTACACCGTGAGGAAAGCGCCTCACGAATGGCCGGATGCAGAAACGCTTGTGGACAATAATTTCCGCAACATGTTTGCCAGAGATGCCGAGAATGATGGCATTGAAGCAGCCAAAAAGGAGAGCCGGGAATAGGCAGTTCCAGTGGTTCCAGTGCCTCAAGAATCTGATGACATCCTATGAGGCCGAAAAACCATGGACCTTGATCTGTTGCCAAAAATCCGGGGAAGGATTCTTCAATTCCACTCTGTTTTCTCGCTGGTTGAAGGGACAGTTTACAGAGTTTACCTTTCTATTTGGTGTAAAAGCCAGGGCAGCCAGGGTTTCAATGAATTTTCTCTCAACCCATAGATGATGGCGCCAGGAGTATTATGGCCGAATTGCATATTGCATTCCGATCCTGGCGTTTGCATCCTGCATTTACGACGTGTCCACCAGACAAACACCTGAGATGGTCCAGCAGGCGCAGTGGGCTAGTTGATTGATATATCATGGTATATTATTTTTAGTTGGAAAACCAAGCATTCTAACCTATTCATTACATATTCTGATGTCACAGTCATGGCCTTGTTGACGGAGAGTCGCACTAGTTCCATGGGAAGGGCACAGAATCTCAGATATGAGGCAGCAAGTTGCTGACATGTTCGTCAGCGAAAATAGGCTACCCCCAAATTTGATTAGGACAGATTCGATCATCATTTTCCCATATTTTCCCATATTTTCCCGCTTAAACTATTCGAATGGCCATAACATGGCTATCATTTTGGGAGTTTCTCCGCGAATCTCCGGGGTGAAATCCGCAGGACCGACCCCCTGGCACGCCCGGGCACCCAGGGGCACCCAGGGGCACCCTGGGCCTAAAACATGACCATTTTGACATTGGGAAACCTGATGATCACCTGATGATCACCGGATGGATTTTGGCCTTCAGCCTTTACCTGACAAAACCTCGAAGATACGAGTCTTGGTGGGTTGTAAGCCAGTTCCAAACCATTGACGGAGCATTTCCGAAGCTCCTACTGCTACGACCACATCCAAGCTCTGGAGGAATTTGGCGGGAAAGTTGCTGAACGAACCCGGAAAGCGCAGTCGAGAGTGTGTGGTGGTGCGAGTGGAGCATGAAGATGAAATCACCAATGCCAGTGCTGTGCTGCTGGAAACGCTGCCTAGTTCTGATGGGGGATGGTTGATGTTAATGGGGAAGTGGGGGAACCCATCGGTTTGGCCTACTTCAATTTTGTGAAACACCTATTTGAATCACTTTCGGTTTGAGATGGGGTTGTTATCTCTTGTTATCCTGTTATCCCACGGACCGACATGCACAAGGACACAAGGAGAGACTGATGCCAAGAAGGAAATTCATGCAGTTTCAGTTTCCCATCGAACTATTCCATCTACTTGGGAGTGCATCCGAATGAGTAAGTAGTTCTATAGTGATCTATATATTTTATTACAATAATATATATATATAATATATACAATATACACATATGATTGCGGTATGTCCCAGATATTTTTTTGGGTTCGAAAATGGGCCTGTCTGAAATTTTCGGTGCCATATAATTTCATGATTTTCATGGTGGATCATCAGTTTCCATTGGACAAAGCATCATGGACCGAGGCTACGGCAACGTGCTCATGGTGTGCAGCAACGATTTGGACCAGATAATCTGAACACTCTTGGGGCCATTTCCCGGTGCCTTGATGAATTTTACTGGGATGAAGATCCAATAAGATCCATAAATCCCAGCGATTTTGGGGTCGAAAACCAGCACCTGTCGAAGCGAAAAACCCACTGAGGCTTGCCAATGTGTTGAAGAATAGAGGTCTCTACGAAGAGGCGCCATTGATCCCGTGAAGATCTTATTCCCACTGTGTTATTTGTCCTTCCCCATTGTTTTCTCCTATTTCTTTTGCCTTTTTTTATTCCCTATTTTTCATGTTTTTTTCCGCCCTTTTTCCTTCCGTATTTTTCTTCCCTATTTTTCATTCCCTATTTTTACCCTAGTTCTTCCCTATGCGCCTTTCCTTTTTCACATTTTTTACTTATGTTTTTCCCTAGTTTTCCTTCCCTACTTTTTTTCTTAGTTCTTCCCTATGTGCCTTTCCTTTTTTACCTATTTTTTCCTAGTTTTCCTTCCCTATTTTTATTTACCTATTTATCCATCCCTATTTTTCTTCCCTATTTTTATTCACTACTTTTCTTCTGTATCTTTCTTTCCTATTCTTATTCTGTGTTTTCCTTCCTTATTTTTCTTCCCTATTTCTATTTTACTTGTTTTCTTTTGTATTTTCTTCCGTATTTTTCTTTACTGGTTTTCTTGCGTATTTTTCTTTCCTATTTTTTTCCCCTACTTTCCTTACCTTTTACTTTTCCTTATTTTTTTTATTTTTTTCCCGGTTTTCCTTCCGGTTTTTATTCCTTATTTTTGCTTCTCTATTTTTTGTATTGTGTCTTTTCCTCCATATTGTCCTCCCTATTTTTCTTCCCTATTTGGGTCCCTATGTTGGCCCTATTTGATTTCCGTTTTTCTAATATTTTCTCTACGTTCTTCTTTTTTTGTAGCAACGGAAACTAATCCATTTAGTTTCATGGGTATCCATTATTTCTCCCAATAAAAGCTTGGTTTACATCAGGTGTCGTATCATCATGTTTCCTACATAAATAGGTGTTTGATCGGGTTTATGTTTCTTTTTCCATAATTTTCCGAGATACATACTGATTTCAAGGATTATCCCATAACATATCCTATATATATATATTCTTATTAAAATGTGTAATTTTTCCCATGTAAAGTCCCTCTCAATCCATCTCAAGGCCGATCCGATGCCAGGCCACTCCACTCTTCGAACGCGCCCTCCAGGGTCGCGAGGAGATTTTGGGACCCGAAGATCCTGACACTTTGACGGCAGCCAACAGTCTGGCACTGCTGTTGGAGGCACATCACCACGCCAAAGATCTTTTTTTTCTCAATTTACAGATGTTTCCGCCAAATGTTTCCATATGTAGCTGAGTTGATTGATGTTGGTGAAAAGCTTCAACATCGCAGTTTTTCCAACATCGATTTTTTCCAAAATGGTTTTGGAGTCATCCCATCACCATTTTTCAGGCACGCTTCATGCTGGCCGAAGCCGAGCCGCTCTTTCGTCGCGCCCTGATGGGGCGACAGATGAAATTGGGGCCGAAGCATCCGGATACGTTGGAGGTGATGAACAACTTGGCCAAGTTGCTTCAGGCTGACAGGTTTGGGTTGCCCTTTGCTGTGGATCAAAGATAGGGTATTTAATGGACATCAATGGACATCTATAACTTTGGTAATTATATCTATGAAGTAGACTAAGTAGACCAGGTTTTTTTTGGAAGGGTGATGATTTTGAGACAATCATACACACATATCTTCCTATCCTTTCAAAGAGAAGGTACCACCAAAATCATCCGCATTTTTGCCACAAGATCAAGGCGCAGGGGAAGTTCACCGAAGCTGAACCGCTCTTTCGAAAAGCCTTGCTGGGGTGTGAAGAGAAATTGGGCAAACGGCACCCGCACACACTGACATTGATCAACAATCTTGCAGGCGAGGATGGTGCTAGATTTGGTGGGTGGTAGATGGTTGGTGGTAGATGGTTGGTCAGCTGGTTGGAAGGGGACCACATGATTGGAAGAGAACATGTAAAACAATGATCCCATAGTTTTTTTTTGCAATCCCCATGGCTTTATCCTAGAATTCAACCAGGTTCAAACCCTGGTTGAAACGTTGAAACCTTTGCAACGCCAGGTGTCCTTCATGTCCAAGGCAAACTCAACGAGGCCGCCCCTCTGTTCGCGCGAGCGCTGGAGGGCCGCGAAGCTGAGCTGGGGAAGAACCATCCGGACACCCTGACGTCGGTGAACAACTTGGCGCTGCTGTTGGAGGTGGGACCATGGTCGGAGCATGGGATGGGGAGAGTGGCAACATGTGGCAACCCTGAAATGATTTGAAGCCATGATTTTTCAGAATTCACCGCCATAAACAACTACCATGACTACTACCATGAGGGATGAGAATTACCAGCCATTATCCATTTGTCGCAAGTTATCGGGGATGGTCTACTATTATTACTATTGTGTTTACCACATCTCCGGTTCCATGTGGATTTCGGTCTTTGTGGTTCAATGGAACGTCACAAGGGCAGGCTTGAATCAGGTTGAAAGATGACACATGGATGGGAGATGATGGGAGGGTGTTGCAAACTCTTTGGCAAACAGAACCAATAACCAACATTTTAAAGACAAGTGATGGGAATTCCCAATGGACGATGATGGACATCTTTGGCAAAGCTTTTTGGTCGTGGGGACCAGAGACGACTTAAATCACTTCTGCACAACGCCATGGATCAAACTCATTGGACTGCCATATCATTCTTTTTTAATCCTAGCAATGACCATATGAGAATTTTGACCCAAAACTTATACATATATATATATATAATTATATATATATATCCTTACACAAACATGTACATCTATGTACATATCATGGATTCATAGTACATTCATACATAGTCATCCTGGAGAGGAATGTGACTATTTCAAAACATCCTCACAGAACTTAAAAAAATATAGATACTTCAAGATTATATTCATGTCCTTAGGATCTTTTTAAAAGTTTTGTTTTCTGCCTCTTAGCCAGGCTCAGGGCAAGTTTAAGGAGGCCGAGCCCTTACTGTGGCGGGGACTGGAAGGATATCGAGAGGAGCTTGGCAGCGATCATCCCGACACCTTGGCCTTCGTCAACAACTTGGCACATCTCTTGCAGGTGCAGTGGGCACTGGGATGGATTTTTGGATGGGATTGAGATGATTGAGATTTTTGTTGGGAGCAACAAATGGTGATTTACAAAATGGGAGAATGTTATGGGATATTATGGGACCGCGTTTTGAGATCGGATGGATTTACCGTGATTATGGGTGGTATTCAGAGTTCATGCCACTGTTTTTGCTGTTTCACCAACATTTTTGCTTCGCTATTGTTGCGAGCTGGACTGATGATTGTTGTAGAGTTTTTACTTTTTTTCCAGATGAGTGCAGGTGGTGATGTTGATGATTTTTGCCGAGGGTTGGAGAATCATGATGTTGTTTTGGACGGTGAGTAAGCGGATGGTTGTTGTATGTTGTTTTTTTCTCACTGGAGAAAAAAATAGAAAAAACATCTGTACTCCCCAAACCGTACCTTAGCACATGGTGTCGATCTGAACTTGTGGATGGTTCGACGGGGAAACATGGAGAAGGATATATTTTGAGAACCCCAACTATAGGATAGTATTGAAGGCTGGGAGCCTTCTGTGCAGACTAGGAAACCATGGAAACCACGATGGAACTTGAGTTGATAAAACGAAGGTTGCTTTGCGGTCAACAGTCTCAAGTTGTTGTCCGATGGCGAAGAGAGTGAACCGCCGTTTTCGTTAGTTTTCAGCTCAATTGTGCATTGGTAATGGAGAATTAAGGAGAATTATGATGAATTATGTGCATTGGTAAAGCATTCTCGAAGGATTGAAAGTTTCAAAGAGGAATTCTCTAAGGATTCTCGAAGGATTCTCCAAAAGATGGCGGAAGAAACTTTGGGACTTTGGAGGAAACCCATGTCGGTAGTGGGTTCAGATTTGACCACCGATCTGGATGCATTCGAACGACTGAAAACTGCGACGCCTCTGAAATGCTGAAATGGTGGGCCAGCAATATACCATGATACCATCAGCTAATTATACATATTATTACTGTAATCCCTCAAGTTCAAGAGAAACTATTCATATTCGTAGAATTTCGTGGATATCATTCGCACTGGAACCATCCCAAGGATATAGATGGATAAATTTGATCCCTGGAGTTCCGTTAATCCCATCCTTTCAGCACCAATAGCTCCGCTCCCCGGCATATCCAGAAGTGTTGGTCATCCCTTTGGTGATTTTCTCGAGGTTGTCCCTTGGATCCCATAGATGGGTTAAAAAGAACTGGTTATTTATCTGGTTATTTAACTGGTTATTCTGGTTATTTGTCTGGTTATAACTCAGCACTTAGGATTATAACATATTATAACTGGTGATTTTTTTCAATGGCGCATAACTTATACCTAAAGTTACTAACCACTTAAGATCCGTGGGATGATCAGTAGCTCCCCCACGAGTAACGACCCGAGTAACGACCAAAAAATCCGTCCGATTCTTGCATCAGCTGGGGCCCCTGTTTTAGAGCTGCGAAGTTGGGGAAGATATCTCCAATAATCATTAAACAATCCAACCACTAGGTTTTATGGTATATATAACTTACAACAGTTTATGGGCTTTATAAACCAAGAAAAAACATGGACAATGACATCATGATATCCCGACACCCCAAGGGATCATCCTTGCGACCATCACTTCTGGGTGGTTAAACAGTGGTTAACCTCCGTTCACCTCCATAAAATTACAGCTGTTTTTGACGAAGAACTAGCAGTTTTGGGTTCAGCAAAGTTTTCTTCAGTGTAAGATCTCACATATGTTAGATGTCCTCTTCTCACGGGTTGGTTGATTCATGAGAATACATAATTTCCCAGTCACCCACTCCTCATTTTTTGTTCCAAAGGGACAATATTGTAGCATCAGCAGCACTTCCAAAAATCTTAATTCTCAATTCCACATGTTATATATATATATATCTATGGTATCTATGTGACAATTCCAAATCCCAAACGGTTTTCCCAAATATATAGAGGAAACCATATGGACAATTGCGAAAGAACTCGAACTTCCATTCATCCCGCCAGGCGCAAGGACGTTTGCAAGAGGCAGAGGCACTCTATCGCCAAGGGCTGGAAGATTGCCAGGCGCCAGCCAGAAACCATCCCCAAGAATACCAGTTTTATGGATGCAAAAGAAACATCTAGAAACCATCCCCAGTCATGGTGGGTGTATGGCGGTTGCCCACATTCATTCGAATTGGGGGAACTATTTTCACACATACAACTTTTCGTTATGATTTTCTGCTTATTCACAACAAACATAGGGGCATTAAACCAAAAGAAGCGGGCATATTCATCCCTCAAATGGCCACGAATTTTGACCGCACACCTTTTTTCACCAGGTGAAATTGGGCGCCAGCCACCCGCACTCGCTGACGCTGTTGACGAGCTTGGCCAACTTGGTTCTGGTGCAGGGGAAGGAGGAAGCTGAGGTTTTGCTGGTGCAAGCAATGGAGGCCTGTGAGGCAAACCTGGGATACCAACATCCTTTGACCTTGGTGTCAGTGTGGCGCAGCTCCACTTCAGTTTTTTTCTCTTTTTTTTAAATACTTTTTTTTTTAAAAAAAAAAGTGTTTCTATTTATTTTAGATACTCTTATGATGTGTTTTGAACATGTAGGTGGTTTAGCTGCTAGGTGGCCCCAACTGATACTGTAGGTCTCTGTTGGTAAAAACACATAACTGGGATTTATGGTAGATGGGGTATATCACGGAACATCACCTAGGCGGTACTCTGTAGAAGCTTCATTCTGCTTGTCTGGAGCTTGATGTTCTTTCTTGACAGCTCTGAAAACAAAGGCAGAGCATCAGCCCATATCATCATCAGCCCATAAACCAAATTAACCAAATTGATGGTCAAAACAGATCGAAGCCATCAAAAACCCATCAGACCATTTGATTATCCAAATATTGTGGTGCTTTCGGGTTTCCCAATCTTTGGATTTACTTGGATGTGCATCCCAGCTACTAACTGGATATAACTGGATAATCACATGTAATTAATAAATAACCACGTCATAACCACATCAGGACCATATCATGACAACATCTTCACCATTTCTTCCACCCATGATGTATCAAATATCACCTGTAACTGTAGTAATATGGAGGTTTCCTAAGTCATGGGGGTACCCCAAATCATCCAAGTCATGGATGACCATTTGAGTATTGAAACCACCTAGAGTGACTTGGGGTATCCCATGACTTAGGCAAATCCCAGCCCTATATGAATGACACACACACACATATATATATATATATGTTACATATATGACACACATATCTAAAGGTCATTTCACATCTTCCCTCAGGAATGGTCTCGCCGTGGTCTTCGAAGCTCAGCAGAAGCTGGACGAGGCGGAACCCTTGTTCCGCCGGGCGCTGGAAGGCAACGTGGTGCACTACGGCACCTGGGCCGCGGAAAATCCCAGGGCGGAAATCCCAGGGCGGAATCCCAGGGCGGTCATGGTTGGGTGATGTTAAAAAAACGAAAAAAAAAAAAAAACACAATGATTTTGGGAGGATGATGGAAAGAATGGGAGATTTTTTTGACGAAAAAATGGATTTAGCAGATGTTCGGGTGTCCGAAAATGGGGTATATACCACACCTTCATGGCCATTTTGGGGAGAAAACCAAGATGAAGCACCAAATTTGGAGGACCCTATCTTCAGAGCGCAAGCCCAAATGAATTAGTTGTTAGCTTGAAATGACACAACTTGAGATGGGGAGAGGGTTATATACCCAAACTGCAGCAAAGTTTGACCAGTAGTTAACATTTTTCACATGTTTTGGCCCGCTTATTTGGCTGACTTTCCACAAGTTTATTTCTCCAACGGTAAACCAACAGGTGAATTGTAGATTAATGGATTAATTCTTGGAGTTCATATGCAGCTAGAATTTCGCGTTCTTGCAGAATATCTAAAATCAGCCAGGTGATGGCGATTCTGAAACATGGTTTGTGTTTGTTGTTCTCACCCCATTTCTTTGTTGTTCCTGTTTGGAATGTGTCATGACTCGGTTTGGAAGAAGACTTGCCAAAAAATAATGTTTGGACAACACATATAGCTACAAACCATGACAATCCGATTTCCCTTGATATTTCCACATGTTTTGACCTGCTTTTGTTTGACTTTCCACATGTTTTGTTGAGGAGCAGAACACCCTCACAGTGTGCTCTCGCTGGAGAATTTGGGGCGTTTGCTTCAGCGGAAGGGGAACCTGGCCGAAGCCGAGTCGTTATTCCAAAAAGCCCTGGATCTACGCGAGAAGACTTCGGGGAATGTGTCCGAGACATTGGCAGCCAACAACCTGGGAAGGGTACACTTGAAGTTTTGCTTAGTAAGATGTTCAGGTTTGTTTTCATTTTTTTGAAATCAGAGTTGGTAACATCCCTCAAAAACATAAGTCATGTTGAAAACACAAGAGGATCCACCATCCCCAAATTTACAATGTTCATGGGTGGTATACACCATCAATCCATATAGCTGGTAGCAATGGCATTGCACAAAACCCACATTGAAAGCTTCGGGATGATCATTCTTCAAAATCCACAGGAAACGGGTTTTTCCCATGAAATCTAGGGGTGTCCTGTAAATTTTCCCTTAAACCAATCCAATTCTCAAATTTTATCAATGATGATGGGAACATAAAGCAACAGCAATGGACATTTCCACCAACATTTTCCCTATTACGATCTTTGTTTCCCATTGGACTAGTGTTGGTATATATTGGATATCATCAATTATGTGCTTATTCAAGAGTCATTTGAACAAAAATCCATTGTTAGAACATCAACTGTTAACTTATAGATGTGTTTTTGGAGCGCGTTTCTTTTCGTAGTTTTTGGACGTTTCCAATGTCAGAGAATATTCATGAATACATAGTTGGTATTCCAATAATTCTTTCATATTCCCATATTTCAATTGAGTTGACAATTCATTATCGGTTTCACGTTCTGTTTTCATTGGATTATTCCATAAAGTACTACTTTTTGACAATTTTAAGTCCAAAATTATTCCTTTGGGAATTCATTGACCTCAAGTCGTTGGTAGATATCTATTGTGGAATGTATCCCATAATTGTTGTCAAAATCCCCAGGTAGTGCGTCCACTGATGTGTCAATAACAACAATTGTTACTTACAAATCAGTGGTGCATAAAAGTTCCAGTATGTCCTATTCTTGATGGTTAACTTCGCCGGTCATATATCCCATGAAATATACCTATTGTGTTTTTTCAACATGTTTCGACCATCATTTAGGCTGGTTGAATCCATTTAACGTCCCAAATTGTTGTCAAATCTATGATATTCTTTGAATAAAACACACGAAACCAAGAGAATACTATCCCTAACATTCCCAAACATTTTTCTGGCCATTTTTGCAGGGTAGCTCGCTTGGTGCTCCCTAGTTGTAAATTGCTTTGAACCCCATCTAATTATAATTCGATACATCTACCAACCATACTTCATTCACCTAGTCCAATGTTTACAATGTTGAATCAACTATCTCAACTACAATCCATCAACATCCATCATCTAAATCAGCATCTTTGACTAGAGAGTATCCCATTTTATATCTCATTAAATATCCCATTACCCTCTGGTAAACTAACATAAACTATGGAAAATCACCATTTTCAATGGGTAAATCCACTATAAATCACCATTTTCCATAGCTTTTTGTATGTTTACCAGGCCGGGTCGATTTTGGGCGCCTCAAAAATTCCTGCAGGTCTTGGACCCGGACGACCAGGAGGCGGAGCGCCTGCTCCACCGCGCCTTGACGCACCACAGCACCGTGGGACCCACGGGGCCGCAGACGCCGGAGCAGCTGCAGCTGACGCGACTGGTGACCACGGCGTCCACGGTGACCTCGTTGTTGCTGTCACAGGACACTGGGAAAAACGGTTGGAAAATCTCGGGATTTTCTCGGGATTTTCTCGGTAGTTTGAGAGATTTTTTGGAGTATGGTTTGTTGTTAGTGAACTATTGGTTGTACGATGTTGTAGGTTCCCATGGTTTTACACTTCAGGTATGCCACAATATTTGGTCGATACATGTTGATACATGTCGTGGGGTATCTAACATAATATGAGATACGGTCAAAATAAACATAGACTACTTTAGTAAGGGAGGGTCCAGTTGTGTCCAGAAAGTGCACCAAACCATGTAAAGTGATAGGCCCCCAAAAAAAAACGATAACTTGTAACCAGATGAGAGTGTATTAAACTTGGTGTAAACCAAGAACATATTGTTGTGCACCTTCACGCGATGGGCAACATTGATGAAGAAAATTCAACCTGCAGTGCCCACGTTTCTTGCAGTGGCCATGTCATTTGTTGTCCAAGGTGATTGAACCGTTGCTTTCTGCAGGCAGTTTGTTTTTTGCTCCGAGGTCCCAATGCAATTGAATTCTGAATTATATAAATGAAAAATAGTTTTAATTCTAATTCTGAATTCGGTTTATGTGCTTTATAATTTATATATATAATTTAATTCGAATTTCTTCTTCCTTTGTTTCCTTTTTTTCTTACCTTCCTTTTTCCTCTTACTTTCATTTGAAACCTAAATGCAATTGAATTCTGAAGTAAGTCAAAATTGTTTTTGAATCCAATTCAGAATTCCATCTATTTCATTTTTCCCGAGATTGTAATACATTTCCTTGCTTAGGAAAGAGTCTAGGAATGTTCTTAGGTAGCTCCCCAACATGGTTGCAAACACAAAGACAACGGGCGCCCCTTAATCCATCCCCGGCAGTTTAGAGATCTGAATCCGTGAAGCCAATTCCGCGGCATTTTTGCATTAAACTAATCTTGATTTGAACAAAATACTGTAAAGCGATAGATAGGCCCCCCAAAAAAACTGATAAGTTATATTTTTGTACCAGGCGTAAACAATTGATTTTGACGGCGGCTCATATATGTATACAGGATATATGCACATATTTGTTGGTGATATCTAACATCACCTTTCGATGGTGAAGTGATGATTAGCCCCCTTTAAGAGATGGTGTTTATTAACGAAATGTAAGGCTCAAGGGTTGATATTTCTTCCACGGGATTATGAAGCAATGACTCAGGATTACGCCCGACAGGCCAGGGGCCCACTTGAGGGTAAAGGATCACACATATATTATACATAATCAAGGGGCGCATGGGAAAGCCAAAAAACACCATAAATTGCGGAGTGTTTGTAGGGTCGGCGGTTATTGTTGTTGTTGTTGTTGTTGTTGTTGTTGTTGTTGTTGTTGTTGTTGTTGTTGTTGCTGTTGTTGTGGTGGTGGTGGTGGCCCATCAGCAAGGTCTGTAATTGTAATTAGTAGGCGCATTTTGGGGCGAGGTTGGCCCAGCTAGCGGCTATGTTGGCCCCTCTTGGACCTCTGGGGGCTATGTCGGCGCAGCTTGCGGCCTATGTTGGGCCAGCTGGGGGCTATGTTGGGGCAGCGTCGGCGCATTTTGGGGCTTATGTTGAGCCATGTTGACCCATCTTCAGCCACAAGATTGAAAAAATAGGAAAGCCACAAAACATTGTAAACTGCGTGACTTTTCTAGGCCTACGGCAGTTCCACGGCCCCGGGGCCTGTGGGCCCCTGGCCGGATTTAAGCGCTTACGCGCGACAGCCGGCCAGGGGCCCATGTTGAGGTGATAGGGGTCGAGCTGTTGTGGTTGTTGCGGTTGTCGGTGTTGTCGGTGTTGTCGGTGTTGTCGGTGTTGTTGTTGTTGTTGTTGTTGTTGTTGTTGTTGCTGTTGTTGTTGTTGTTGTTGTTCTGGTTGTTGTGTGTGGTTTTTGTTTTGTGGTTTGGGGTTTGGGGTTTCTGGTTTATGGTTCGTGGTTTGTTCTGAACGGCTTGCGGCTATATGGGCCCATCTTGGGGCTATGTTGGCCTATGTTGGCCCATCTTGGGGCTATGTTGGCCCATCTTGCGGCCTGTGTTGGCCCATGTTGACCCATCTTCAGCCACAAACTCCGAAAAATGCGAAAAAATGGGAACAGCAAAAAGCACCGTAAAACGCATGGGTTTTTGATGACACGGGGTGTTCGGCGGCAGGGGCGGCGGCCCCTCTCTCCTTCGGAGAGGAGAGAACTGCCGTACGGCAAGGACACGGCCAGCTCGGGCCCCGCGGGCCCCTGGCCGGATTAAGGGGCTACGCCCCATGCCGCCGAACCTAGAGGTTGGCATTGTTCTGCGATTACAGCAAGTTAACGCCCGCCAGTGCACAATGTCAATCTTTTGCTCTATGCTGCATCCATTTGAAAATTGGAAAAGAAACCACAAAAGCTTCGAACGAATTTAGTTGTCGTGTCATCCACGAAGATTTGTTTCCTAACCAGCATGGCTTGGGTTTGGTGGGCACTGCTGAAACTAGCTCCAAATTGCAGCCTTCAAGCCCCCAAAACCTTGGCCTCGCCACACCGAAACACTGTGCCACTGAAGAGCAGACCAAGGCTGCCTGTGCCTAACTTTGCTGTTTGAACCAACAAGAAACTAGCTCCAAATTGCAGCCATCAAGCTCCCAAAACGTTGCCTTCGCCACACCGAAACACAATCCCACTGAAGGACGGACGGGGCCTTCGGCCTGCGGCTGCCTGTGCCAACAACAAATTAGCTCCAAATTGCAGCCGTCAAGCCGCCAAAACGTTGCCGTCGTCACACCGAAACACCATGCCACTGAAGGACGGACGAGGCCTTCGGCGTGCGGATGCCTGTGCCCAACATTCCCTTCTGCACCGACAAGACACTAGCTCCAAATTGCAGCCGTCACGCCTCCGCCACGCCCAAACAGCATGCTACTGAAGGACACGTCGGGCGACATTTCAATCTACTAATTTTCCTCACAGCACCCAGTGCTGCAGCGGTCTGAGGCACCACACAGAAGGCAACGACCTTCTTTATTCTGTAATCCATGCCGCTTGTTGTACGTAGTACCTACTGAGTGCCGCCCAAGCTTAACAGGGCCACACCATGGAGGCCGTCATTCGCTTCCTTGGTAAGTCATTTTCTTGCCAAACTATGTGATCTATGTGCAGGTAGCAATTTGTAGATTTTGATCTGGAGTCTGGAGTCTGATCTTCAATGCATACTAATTGGAGGGATTTGAAGGTCAAAAATTCTAAAATGCCAAGAATCTAGCAAATTGAGTCCATGGCTCTTGGGGGTTCAACTGGTTCAACCTCCTGACATGAAGTCGTAGCAGCAGGTCTGGACAACCTGGAAACACCCGAAAACAAGCAGTAACAAGCAGCTCAGTGAACACTGTGCACTGTGACTGTCCTCAGTGCCTCCTCTCTGGAGAGCGGTGCGGCTCGCGCCTCTAGCAACCACCAGGCTTTTTTGGATGTTCATCCAAAGCTAGCCACTGGATGGGAATGTGTAAGACTGGCATACTGTAGTGCCATAGTGATGGCATAGTGGTTCAACATGTTCAACCTGCTTTCATTAGAATTAAATATGAATGCGCTTCGCGGCCAGCAAACCCGCCACTCACAACTTGCAAGGCTTCGTGGCACATGCGCAACAGCAAAACACCACCTAATTTCGTGCCCAAAACGTAGCAAAGGAACCCCCCAAAAAAACTGCCTAACGTCTCTTCTGAAACCTTTCTTTTACTGAGACTTATGTTTGCCACATCTTGCGGCCAACAAACACGCCACTCACAAAGTGCAAGGCAATGATGGACGGCAAAGCTCCGAAATTGCACCCCAAAACTCCTTATTCAGCTTTTTGTTAGCTTCCCTTTTGCAGTAGTAGCAGCAGCAGCAGGAGTAGTAGCAGGAGTAGTAGTAGGAGTAGTAGTAGCAGTAGCAGTAGCAGTAGCAGTAGCAGTAGTAGTAGTAGAAGTAGTAGTAGTAGTTGTTGTTGTCGTAGTGGTAGTGGTGGTAGCAGTAGCAGTGGCAGTGGCAGTGGCAGTAGCAGCAGCAGCAGCAGTAGCAGAAGCAGTAGTAGCAGCAGCAGCAGCAGTAGCAGTAGCAGTAGCAGTAGCAGTAGCAGTAGGAGTAGTAGTAGTAGTAGTAGGGGCAACATATTTTTTCCCGGCGCCATCCCCATTGCTGCCAGGCGGGTCGGCGGAAACTAGACGGCTCTTGCCGTTGCTGCTGCTGCTGCTGCTGCTGACAGAAGAGTACCAAAAGCTTCTCCCGGCACCAAAACAGCAAGGCACGGAAGGACGAACAGGCCACAGAATCGCATTGAGAAACTGCCTAACGTAACTTCTGAAACCTTACTAGACTTGTCGCAATAACAGCCCGAACGTCCCTTCTGAAATCCGAATTGAATTCCAATAGATCCAATGTTAGAATAAAATCCAATTTTGACTGCTGCTGCTAATGCTGCTGCTGGTGGCTGCTGCTCCTGCTGCTGCTGCTGCTGCTGCTGCCATCAACGGCCATTGTGCAGGATGCTATCCGCAAGCGTGCTAACAAGGCTACACCTTAGTAGTACCTTAGTAGTCGTGGCAAACTCTTATTCCTTGGCGCGCTCCCCCTTGCGCAGCCGGGGTCGGCGGATCTTTCAAGGGTGTCTTTCCAAGACCGTTTGGCGAAAGTATCTTACAAGAGCGTCTCGGACGAGGTCCGAGAGTGTTTCACAAAAGCGCCTGATCAGGTCAGTAAGCGCTGAGCTTTACTACCACTGCCCACCGGCGGGGCCGCCGCAGTGGTACAAGCCGGTGGACCCCACGTCGGACTCTTGTCTGCAAATTCCCGAACTGTGGGGTTTCAATCTCTGGGTCTGGCCGGAGCGGGCCCGGAACCGAGCCATGGAACCTTGCAACCCTGGAACCTTGAAAACCCGGAGTCGGCGTGCTCTTGTTGCAGGACGCGGTGGAGCTGGAGTGGTGGGGGCGTGGAGCGGCGCGTGTGCCGTTCCACACCTCCATTGGTGTGTCCACTGG